TAATTCTATTTGCCATTTTCCAATGGCATTTATTTGACAAGTTCGATAATTTTCTTCGGTCGTTTGATGATCGGAAGTTCCTTTGCATTTGCTTGGTACACCATATACTGTTTTATATGGTATCATATTTCTATCAAGTGACTTTTTATCTTGAACATTCTCAGCAACTATCATTTGAATGAAATAGCAAAATAAAAGTGTATGCTTCATAAACATAATAGTATTCATAAATTCACATTCACCAAAATTACAAAAATAAAATAAACATTTTTTTTCCATTTTGATTCTGATTTTTATATGTTTTTCATTCCACTATTGTTATTGGATTTCAATTACGAACAATTTTAACAATTGAATTTCAAACATTTGTTTTCAAATTGAATTCGATATTGAATAGTATTTTTTTTTCTCGAATTTATTTTTTATTTTTTTTTCTAAAACTAAAGTTTTTCAAGTTTACAAAAACAACAACAACAAAAACGACCTAAAAAAAAAGAAATTTGTTGAGAAAAGTTATTCGTTTTTTTTTAAATTATTATTTTTTCAAATGATCACTAGAAAAAAAATGAGTAAAATTCAAGCTAATTTCTATATTGATTAATTATATTGATTTTATTTTAAAATTAATTTATATCAATGAAAATAAAAATAAAAATAATTTTCCATTTAAAATTGTTTGCCATAATCAGTAAATGGATGTTCAGATATTTGTGTTGCTGTTTGTAAAAATGCTTGATTCACTGATCTTTGCACACGTTTTGACATCGAATCCGAATTGGATGATTGTATTGAGGATGATGATGATTTTGGATGACCACCATACTTTGATTGTTGTTGATTGGATGGCAGGTCCGTATTTTCTGCAATATTTATCGCTACGGTTGGTATTTGGCTTGAAATTGATCTTTTATATCTATTGCGTGCTGAATGAGATACTGATTCCGAAAGTAAATTTTCTAATAACGAGTTGTTCTCTTCTGTATTTATCATAGCAAACCGACTATGTGCAGGATCATAAAAATATTTGCCCTTAGTTGTATAAAGTTCTTTGAAATACCAAACATAATAATCGATTGGTTTATTGTATATTTTTGGTTTAATCATAGCTTCATAGTACAGAAAATCTTCTTGTTCTGCACTTATAACTGGATTTGGACCTTCTAAGAATTTACGCCTAAATTTAGATATAGGATATTCAGGAATTTTTTTATCATCAGATAATCTTTTTTTGAATATTTCAATAAATTCACTTAAATCATTACGATTATTTTCTGTAAGAGGTATTGATCGCTCGATTTCTTCGATTTCGTTTAGTATATAAACTCGATAATTTTCTTGCTCTGATTGAGAGGTATCAATCATTTGATGTAAATAATCTCTGTCCTCATTAGTCAAGATTGGTTTAATTTCACTCTTATCGGATTGAAGATTTTCATTCAATAATTGTTTGTGTAAAGGTTTGACATAGTCGTCTCTGAATAGTATGGCCTCTTTCGTTTTCTCTTTATCATTTGCAGCTGCACTCTGAAGTTCCAACATTTTTTGAAGAACCGAAGTTCTGTATTCTTTATTTACAGAACTTGGTTTGATTCCTTGTTTTAGAGTGTCTATTTCTTTATCGGTTAATATTGGTTCAATACGATAATCTAATTCATCTAAGACGGGTTTAATTGTTTTTTTGTCTTTTGATTTGAAAATATTCATAAGCTTTTTTCCTATACCAGATTTTCCCTCCAAATCATTTTTAATTGCATTCTCTGTTTTTTCTCTACCGTCTTCTCCAAAACTTTCAATTTGTTCCAAAATTCCTGTCTCTTTTGCCTTGATTTCCTTTTCCATTTGTTTTTTTGCTTCTTTTATTTTATCATCTATTTCGTCCTCTTGATCCCAAAATTCACTTTTATTTTTTTTATATTCTTTTTCGAGAGCATTGTACTCATCCTTTTTCATTTTATCTGTTTTTTTTAGTTGTTCCAAATCGTATAATTTGTCTTTATAATCTGCCTTTCTAATTTCCCATGAATTCACAAGATTTTGCTTTTCATCCACTAGATCATAATATGGATATTTGAATCCATCTTCGTATGCTTTTTTTGCTATTTCCGAATATATTGATCTTTTGATTCCTGGTTCAGTTGTTTTGGTGGTGGTTGGAAAATTCGATGATTTTAGGTTCGTTGTTGTTTTTTTGCTCAATGATTTTTTTCTTTGTCTCAATGGTAAAGATGAAGGTTCAGTCATACTATCTCGATTATCTGAATTTTTGGATTTATTTGTTAATTTTTGTTGTTGTTGCTGTTGTCTTGATCTTTGCTGTTGTTGTGATATTGGTTGTTCTTGTCGTTGTNNTGGTTTATTAAGTTCCAATTGTTTTAGAATACGGTAATCTTCATCAGAACCAGTCTCATTATAACGTTTTTCTTGTTTATTGTATTGTTTAAGCCACTTTTTAAGCGCTTTTTCATATTCTTCTTTGATTCTTGCTCTTTCTCTTTCTTCTTCTCTTTCTTTTTCCTTCTTAAGCCACTGTTTTTTAAATTCTGATGTCTTCGGATTTTCTATTAAAATTGGAAGATTATCATCATCAAAAAGTATTTCGGGACTATTATCTTTACGTTCTAACTCAAGTGCGTCGATTTCTTCCTGTGAAGTAGCCTTTTGCTTTTTTATCTCATATTTTTCATCATGCTGCTTCGCTAGATAAAAAAATCGTCTTTTTAGTTCTTCCAGACTTTCTGATTGTTCCGATGTCGATTGTTTAATATTGGATAAAGCGCTAGCTTTTGACTCTTGTGATGAATCATTTGATGAAATTTTGGATATTTGTTGATTTTCGACTTTTTCTTGTTGAGCTAATTTTTGTTGTCGTTGATGTTGTCTTGATCTTTGCTGTTCTTGTGATATTGTTTGTTGTTGTTGATGTTGTCTTGA